ACGTTACCGCTACATTTTCCCTGTTACCCTGCCCTTTCACACGATATTTCCTGCCACCCGCACACATTCCCTTTGTGCGCTTAAGAAAAGCCAGTCGCCGATGCCTATATCGCCACTCCTCCCCTCCCCACATCCATTCGCACCATTTCCTCTGTCGAAGCCATGCCACTCTCAGCCCTATTTGGAGAAGCACCGTCACGGCCCTCCGTCGGCCTCCACAAAGGAACTGCAATGGAGCATGTTGGGGAGGATGACGCCGCCGCTAAGAAGGAGCATGATTTTGCCGACAAGATGGTCCAACATCAAGATCCTAGAGTAAATGACGAGGATCAATGTATGCGTGCGGAGTCCTGCAAGACGATCGTCCGGCGCCGTGGCAATGTCGCGCCCTCACCCATAGTGAGACTTGAGACACCCGCCATGCTGCTCGTCATGTCGTAGCTGCGCCAAAGCCAGCGCCCCTCCCTCGCCTCTAGGAAGCCTTAGGACACCCGCCCCGCCACAGTCTTCGACGTGAACACGGGTTGGACAGAGTTCTACATTGCGTCGACGATGGACACCAAGAGGAAGCGCATCATCTAGGAACGTGTCGTCACCCTCGAGGCTAAGGAGGGTGCCTCGCCGGTATTGGAGGCAGACACCCACGCCTGCGACTCCAAGGCCGCAGCCAACGCCGGCAAATTCTACGAACGTGTCCTCGTACATTGGCAAGGTATATACACTGAAGAATACTATTCCCAAGGTTGTTGTTCACTGTCAAGTCCAGGAAGGCTCGCCCCGTGACATCTAGTTTAGTTATCTACTAGTCTAGTTGTGTATGGAAATATCGCTTCTCGACATCCCCCTTCTCTAAAATGTTGATACATATATATACAAATCAATAAGCGACGAATTTTGCCCCCATACAAAAATGAACTATCTAGTTTACAATGTTGTGCAAGTGTTTCGTGTTGATCCGGCCAAAGTTTGGTTGTCAATCTGTGCCAAATAGAAGTAGAAATTTTGAGTACAAGATAAAAAGACAGATAGGGGAAAATAATATATAGGCTGCGATTTAGGAAATCTAAGTCTGCATATAGGCTTGGCAACCTCCAAAATATTCTAGAGTGCACTCCAAAACGATTTTAGGGGCTGCCGGTTTGGCGACTGTGCTGCACTGCTGCTATTAGAAAACAAGTACCATAGCCTAAACGCTAATCATTTTTTTTCTTTTCTTTTTGGCATATAACAAACCAATGGTTCCAGGCCTGCAACCATGGACAAGAGACAGAGTAAATTGAAAAAAACCACCACAATTGTGCAAATGTCATCAAACAACCACCAAAATGTATGTTTTCTGGTGGGTTTTTTCTGAAGCATTGAAAACTTTGACCCAATTGTGGTGGTTTTTTGCAATTTACTCAGAGACATGTGATCTCTGTGACAATTTGAGTATTTGACATAACATTACCCACAGCAAACCACATCAAGGTTAGGAACCTCAAGAACTAAGAACAATCCATAGAAGATCAAAGGAGTGAGAGATGATTCTGAGGCAAACACTAAGGCCTCATTTGGTTGCAAGGGAAAGTATCCCAGGGTAGTAATCCCACGAGGGGGGTTTTCCATGGCCATAGGGGATCCCTCTCCCACCACGGGGAGGCCCCCACGTGAGTTTGGAGATGAGGGGCAGGGGAGGAATCCCGTTCAGAAAATTGTCAGAAAAGTATCAAATTTCTTATAAAACATTATAATATTCAAAAGCCATGAAAAATAACACTGTCTTTTTTACAAAAATATTATATTAGTTCAAAAGTAACTAAATTTTTTCTCTAATTTCATTGCAAACTTCAGGAATGACAAAGAAAACACAGGAAAACACGAAACAAGCATAAACAGTAAAAAAATAAAACACTTCAATCCACATTAAACACGCTGACCATAAGTTATACATGTTCAGTCGCACAAATAACGGCACTGCGAATAAATTTAGCGTGCTAATCATGGTTTAACAGCGGAAATGCTTACTAAGGTAGAAATCCAGCAAGGATAATCATTTACTTCCATTATTAACATGTATCTGTGTAAATCATCCATGCCAAAATGTGTTGCTGCTGGGATAGTCACTACTGAAACTTCCAAGATCAACTTCTTTGAAGAATTTCATTGGCTAGCTTTAGGAAACCTGCAAAGCAAAAAAACAACAACGTAGTCACTATACAATATAAATTTTAAACTATATATAAGCACATATATTTATTTATATCCATGTTCCCAATGAAATAGATGCAAACATAATAAGCACACACCTGTTTGTGTTCTTATATGTATAATATTGTTCTCTTTAATTCCTAGATGACCACGGCATGAAAGCCATCATTTCGCAAGAAACGAATGTTAGACTGAAACTAGTTTGAAAATAGCCTTCAGAGCTTTTCAATTGTATAAAAACTATTCCAATTGTAATATTGTATAATGTTCAGAATAATATGCACCGGATGGCACTAATGACAAGCTCGTCAGAGCTTTTCTCCTTGATATTGTATAATGTTTAAAGGATTACTACTAACCAACTGCTTCACTTTGTATAATCTCGTCATGAAACTAAATTCACTGAATTTATTCAAAGCTGCAACTGAAAAGGGGGCTCAGAGAAGGACATTGGTATACGATAACTGAAGGTATCAGCTAATGAAAAATGAGCTACAACTGAAAAAAAATCCATCCCACAAGCGATCAGAGTGGACACCAGAATCGCTCCTGGCGACTAACTACTCTAGCTAAACTCGCTAATAGATTGACTGAAGAAAGACTGAAACTGAAAACTAGACACTAGCTAAAAACGCTGCATGGCAGCAAAACAGAAGTGCCTACCATGGCAGAGAAATATACTAGGTGCGGACTTGGGTTTATTCCAACATACGGCAAGTTCATGGTCGTCTCCGTCGGCTGCGGGCTGAACCCGAAAGAGAGCTACAGCGCCAAGGACGCCGCCAAGTGGGAGATCCTGAACTGAATCATCAAGGATGGCACTGCCCCCATCGTCGACATGTTCAATGCCACCAGCGCCGACATGGTGGACATAAGGAGCTAAAGTTGTAGAGATGCATTCACACAAAAACACAAGATAATTCCACAAAGAAAAACTGACAAGAGCATGAACTCATTTGTATACACCCTCTGTTTTCTCCACAAGATATTCATCTGCTTATAGTTAGCATGTGCAAATTCATGAACAAATTGTAAAATGCCCAATGGAAGAAAACACAAAACTGCACCTCTAAATTGGTACTTCAAAATTACATACCTTATGTTTTCTCCTTGGTAGCAATTTTCTCCTTCAATCAGTAAAGGCATTTTCTAACAGTACATTAGTAATTGATGACTTAACAGCACTGCATCAATAATACTATCAATTGGCTTTGCTGCAATCACATCATAAGTCAAAATTCTTTACAAAAAGATAATATCAATTCAGAAGTCATAATATATATTGGCACATATTCTTATTTATATGCATCTTTCACAAACAAACAGATCCAAACATAATAAGATGTTGTTCTCTCTTTGAATAATCCTCAGGAAAACTCAAAATCTTAATAGCACATGGTTTCATCTTTTAATAACTTTGCCACTAACATACTTTTTACAAATAAAGCTTGAAGTTAAGACAACAATAGATCAACTCAATGGCGTACGCAAAAAGTGTAAAATGGATAGAGATAATGGAGTGAATGTCCCCTTGGGTCCATAGAGTTTAAACCGAAGGCCAATTATCAAGATTACATATGCTCAAACCTTGGTTCCATATCTTGGTACAAAAGGGAAGAATTTGAATGAGAGTAATTTTAAACTGAACAGTTACCATGATACTAATGCTACTTTCATCAACACAATTGAATTCCAATAACTGGTATGTTTATGCTACACCGTTATTATAAGCAAGACAAGCATACTTCAAGTTATCCTAATTAAAGATTCTAAGTTAAAATTAGGACAAAGCTAGTACAGGCTGAGTAGTCCCCTTCAGAAATATACTAGAACATTGTGTGTAGATTAGCATCACAAGGAGGTATATGTGGTTGTGCTCACTTGTGAGGTCAGGATAGTTAGGTAGAAACACTACTGCAAACGATGGATGTTCTTCCGTATTGGTTCTTGTGATACAAAACTCAAACAGGAGAGAAGACTCTTGGATCTGTACAGGCGCAAGTTAGTGCGTGTAGCAGGTTAGGAAAAAATGGTGGGTGGAAGAGGAGGAGGGGATAACCTTGGACGAAGAGGAGCATGATCTCCTGGCCGTCGTCGTCATCGGAAGGTGAAGATCTTGGGGGCGGAGACGAGATCCGGGAAGTAGTAGGATGGCGACCCCGGTCCCGTCGCCCCATCCGGAGGGGCAGAGCGTCGAAGGGAGGAGGGCAGGGGGCGTCGCAGTCGCCGGTCGGAGGAGGCAGGAGCGGTGGACGGAAGGTCTTCCAGTCGCCGCCGCCAGTCGTTCACGAGTGCAAGACAGAACGAGCGAGGGTTTCCTCCCCGACGTCTGCACTCGTGGGAGCATTTCCCGGGGAAAGGCCAGGGGTACCCCTTTCTCGTGGGCGTCCAAACGCGATCGTGAGAATTCCAGGGTTTATTCTGTTCGTGGTTTGTCGGCCCGGGGAAAAGGCAGGGATCCCGGGGGGTTTCGGTGAAACCAAACGAGGCCTAAAGAGACAGATGATCCCTGTGACAAAGGAACGGTCACAAATTTTGCAGATAAAGGATCGACTGGTACCTGCCATTGGTACATGCATGACATGGGAAACCAAACGCCAGCATATTTTACGTGTTGCAAGTCCGCAACAAGTAACAATCCACTCGATGCAATTAATCATTTATGTACATCACCAATGTTCTAGCTTACTCTATGTAACTGAACCCACCGAATTAACCAACGCAATCAAACATGTAAAAGAGGGAATAGAGATATACAGCAAATGTACATTGAATCAAGTAGCCACAAACTAGTACCATTTAGAGACAACTTATTTCTTTCCACCAATCATAGGCTGGCCACCATTTGAGCTACCCAAACTAGTACCAGTCTTATTTCCACCACTGGTGCTCTTCAAGTCAATCAAATCACTGAACAAATTATCGAGTATGTAGTAAGGTTTGCTTGCCGCTGCTGAAGAATCCTTCGGTTGATGATTCCCATTTGGAGCTTGAGGCATCGTTAGACCATTGCTTGTTGAAGAACCCACAGAACTGTACTGTTGCATTGGCTGGGAGGCTGGAGGAGAGCTATATGAAGGTGAGGGAGCTGCGTAGGTGGTTGCTGCCGAGGGGAGTTGTTCTTGGTAAGCAGCCGGCAGGAAAGGATTAGAATTGACAGTTGGAGGTGTCGCCCAAGGTGGCACTGGATATCCGGATGCGTATGCTGGGGCTTGAGATGGATATGGTCTGGTTTGGGCTTGAGATGGATATGGTCCAGTTTGGGCTTGAGATGGATATGGTCCGGTTTGGGCTTGAGATGGATATGGTCCGGTTTGGGCTTGAGATGGATATGGTCCGGTCTGGGCTTGAGATGGATATGGTCCAGTTTGGGCCCAAGGTGCAACATAGTTCCTATTCTGTGGAGTATATCCTTGGTTTACTGAGTATGGCTGGTTGGTTGGAGGATACTGGGGCATACCAGTAGGATTTTGTTGCCCATCTGGAGGCTGCTGGAGGCCATTTTGACCCTGTGCTGAAGAATCTGTAGAAGTTTCATCAGTAGGGCTGCACAAAGTGAGGCTTAGAAGGTCAATCATATCCTGCTCTTTGGTTTGAGTACTACTAGTGGCAGGAGCTGGATCAAGGGGAACCAATGCATTGCTTGCAACAGAAGGTGGCGATTCTGAGCTTGGCAGATCAATGGGTACGAGGGCAAGGTCCACAGTGCTTGTGCTTGATGACGTCTCATCGCTACTTATCACAGATTTGTTTTTTCTGCAGACAGATAAAGCATGGAGCTTAATATTTGTGAAGAAAGTACAAGTAGCAATACCATGGGACCTACCTTTGAGCCAGCCGAGCGAACTCATCCTCCTCTTCATTGGAAGCGTCATTTTGTTCAATAGGAGATGAAGATGGTTTTGCTGGTGGATCCTCCCTAGGAGACTCAATTGTCTCCCTCACGGGAGCTTCAACTGCCAAATGAGTACCAGAAGCGATGGCATCATATTTTGTAAGCACATTTTGTAGGCGATCATTTATTTCGAGACCTTGCTTTAGTAACTGCTCGTTCCTAAATAAACAATGTAAAATGAATATATCAAATATCACTGTAAGCTAACTGCAGTATCAAGATATATGACGTGCACCTAACAGTGAATATGAAGAAAAAAAACATGCAAGATCATTTTAGTACAACAAACAAAAGGACAGCAAATATTTACAGAACACACTTTGATAACTTACCCTGTCGAACTGACAAACTGCATGAGCTTTTGCTGATTTGAGCGACATTGGCTCACGAGATCTGTGATGATTTCATCTTTGACGGCCTGGGTTGAAAAGAAATTTAAGAGGCCATTCATCAGCATGAACTTAAAAAAAAAATTTACAATCATTTCATGATAGATGAGCACAAGTCAAAAATTCAGATGAGATGGCTTTTTACTACCTCTGGATCTGATGGGTTCAAAGCATACACCATATCATTCAGTAACTCCGTCACATTTCGAATATTATTCAAGTCTCCTAAACTGTAACAGGGAAAGGGGAGAACACATATAATGATATAAATGGAGTTACTGGGTGATAATTGAGCAAGTCAAATGAAGTCGAATGCACGATAAAAATAGGCATCACCTCAGAGTATCAACATCGGAGGACATTCTCTCATTCAAACTTCCTGCAGCATATCCAGGTGAACCATAGTTTTGAGAATTGTGTATTGCAGGAGGAGTAAGTATTGGTGGGGCATCTATGGGACGTCTTGGAAACACTAGACCTGTCCGCTGTAACAAAATTTCACAATTAGATGATTACTTTGAAAGGACTAATTTCCATGAAAAAAAGAACGGTGTTGCACAATCGCATGACCATGTATGCTGACAACAGGATATGATTCTGGAACCAAGTACAGGGAAATATATTTTTGCTTCTTTAGGGAACAGACGGGGATCAGTTGCCTACCTTTACTTCAAGATATGCCCAGTGATACTGCCGGTATTTACCTCCAGGTCCACCAAATGCTTCTTGCCAGGAGTCCAAAAGTAATAATATCTTATCCCTTACTTGCATATCGTTCTGAAAGGAATTCGGAAAGGCAAAGATTGTAATCTTATTACTGGCATCTCTAATCATCAGAGAAAATAGAATACTGTAGAATTTAATCACAAGTGCAAGCTGGCAATGGATCTTCCACAAAACAAATAGCATGATGCTACGAAAATAGTGCAATTGTCAGCCATTGTGTGGTAACGATCAGAGATAACGCACTCCCTCCGGCCTCCAGTCCTTTTTACTCCGCATATAAGACTTGTCTCAAGTCAAACTTCGTAAAGTTTTATCAACTTTACAGAAAAAAATATCAACATTCACAATACGAAATCAATATCGTCACTACGTGCGTCATGAATTTAATTTTCATGTTGCGTAACTTTAGTGTTGTAGATGTTGATATATTTTTCATATAAATATGGTCAAACTTTAGTACTTTACTAAGCTTGACTTCAGACAATTCTTATATGCAGAGTAAAAAAGACCGGAGGGAGTACTACAACAATCATGGCTAACTCAACTAGAAAAAAATTGCGCAAGTGAAAATGGTGGACGAGATATTATTTAGTGCTGCACAGAAATCGATCGTCATAACCTTAATATGTTATAGGAGGGTTCTGATAACTGCATGAACTTAAATTTGAAGTAGGATATTGAACAATTAACCATGCCTGGGTAAAGTAGTTCAGGCTACTTATTCGAGAAGAGAACCAGTGAAAACCCACTAAAACGAGTGACTAAGAACAAAGGATTAGTGTACCCATGAGGTTCTGAATGTTACAGACTATTTAGTATGTTCTCAACTTATACAATCATACAAGACAGATAAGATGCCATTGAGAACTATTCAGGCTAAAATAATCGTCTTACAGAATTAGACTTTATGTGTTGGGTAAGGATAAGCGCAAGAAAAGGAAGGAGGGAAGTAAAAAAAAACCTTCTTTTGGATTATTTTAACCATTTCTTGCAGAACATGCTGTTCAGCGACTTCAAACTGAACATATTCTCCACAGTTCTTCATCATCGTCTCCAATAACTGCAAAAAAATTGTAACTAATATGAGCAGGACCAACAGTATCTTCAAATCTTGTAGCAAAGAAAAGATATGCTCTCAGAAGCTAAAACAAACATATGAGAAGTAACAACATTTGCAGTAGATTCAAACTAAATGGGTGTTCCAAAAAGAAATTTTACAGAGCACAACATGGCGTCATTGCAGCACATACCGTCAAAGCATAGTATTGAACTTTCGGATCCTTATGTTGCAATCGCTTCTTCACTGCCTTTACCACATCTTTTGTTTGCCTGATTAAGGTGTTTACAAATTAGCATGGTAGGCAGACAGCTACTTGGACTAGAAAAAACATTATTTATTTAAGTATAATATTAATATTATCAATGGAATGCAAATGTTCACATACTGCATAAGTAGAAGTGAAAAAGGTGCAAAATATATTTACAGTTAAATTTCATCCAGGAATAAATGTGCTAAAAGCAGATGCAAGGTACGATTCCAATGCCCGCATAGTACACCTCTAGGCAAATGTGATATTTCAATCTGGTTATGTCTGTACCATGATTGTCATTGGTATAGGACCCCAGAGGTCTTTTTCATACTAATAATGATCACTATAATGCAAGTCGGATAGAATTGGCATGATGAATTTTGGAAACACTTTAGTCTTTACCATAATCACAAATTCCCCCATGCTTTGTTCCCCTCATCATTATGATTCACCGTGAGATGTACGAAGTAAGCTCTATTACCCCTAGCTTTGGCCTTTGGCCATGGCCCTTCAGAAGCCATCCCCCGCTTCATGACCATAATAAGGTCTCTTAGCAACAGTTTACGAAAGGGCAAAGGCCGAGTTCGCGATAAGCGTTCAAGCTAAGCTGCAGTCGATTCACCACTAGACCATTACATCCTACACCAGAAGCTAAAGCTCATCTTGGATCCCCTTGCCCAAATTGCCTCCTCCCATCGCAACACCAAAAATAAACCCCAATTTCTGCCAGAACAGGGAGCGATTGAACAAGCCAACACTATATAACCCACTAAAGGCTCGACTCCTAAGCCCAAAATCATCAAAACTCAGCACCTAATTCCGCACGCAGGAACTGAAACAGCAACGCACAGGCACAGAGAGAGGGGCTCTAGGAAGGGGAGGGCGGCGGAAGGGAATCACCCACCAGACGTCGGCGTTGATGATGTCGCAGATTTCGAGGTTGACGGCCCAGTCGGGGCCCATGAGCAGGTGGCTGGTGGCCTTGTCGACCCGCGACGCCGCCTGGCGCGCCGGCGCCGCCGCGGCCGCCACCATGGCCCCCGCCGGGTACATCGCCTCGCCGGCTGGCTGGCTTAGGGTTTCCGCGCGGCGCTCCCGAGGGACGAGCAGCAACTATACCGGTGGCGCCGTTATTAGCGAAGGAAGGGGATTTGTTGTAAAAAAATCTGGTTGTCGGTTTCTTTTGACGAGGACGGGCGCAGCGAAGCGGATGAAGGCATGGCTAAACCTGAACAAAATGGCACTATCTTCTTATCTGTCACCGTCTCGTAAATTTGCTTCAGTCCTGACGGATGGGCTGGAGCCCACACAGTCCTAGCAGCCCAAGTTTAAGGTGGTAATCTTGGTCAAAGGGTCAACCTTTTTCGGGAGCAACTGGTTAACGAGCGCTCTTTCGGGAGCCTCGCAACGATCAGCGTCACTTGGCGCGCTTTCAGCCATTCGCCATGTGTCGTGCTCTGGACACTTCATCCGGATTTTATTTTATTTATTTTTCGCACGTGTTTTTGGCTTTTTAAACAGGGTTTTTTCGACGTTTTGTTTTTTCACCCGTCTTTCTTAGCTTTTCGATCAAAAAAAAATTGAAAAAAAAATTGTACGCGAAAAAACGCTTTTTCTGTTTTTTTTCTTTCCCGAGAGTCACGGTTTTGCTTTCGCGAGAGGCACGGCCGTGCCTCTCGGAAAGGGAAAAACAAAACGCGTTTTCTGTTTTTTTTCTTTCCCGAGAGGTTTTGCTTCCGCGAGAGGCACGGTTGTGCTTCGCGAGAGTCACGGCCGTGCCTCTTGAAAAGGGAAAAACAAAACGTGTTTTCTGTTTTTTTTTTCTGTTTCACCAGAGGCACAGTTGTGCTTTCGCGAGAGTCACGGCCATGCCTCTCGGAAAGGGAAAAACAAAACGTGTTTTCTGTTTTTTTTCGCGAGAGTCACGTTTTTGCTTTCGCGAGAGGCACGGTTGTGCTTTCGCGAGAGTCACGGCCGTGCCTCTCGGAATGGAAAAAAATACATGTTCTCTATTTATTTTTCTTTCGCGAGAGTCACGGTTTTGCTTTCGCGAGAGTCACGGCCGTGCCTCTCGGAAACGAAAAAAAAACGCGTTTTCTGTTTTTTTTTCTTCCACGATAGTCATGGGTTTGCTTCCACGAGAGGCACGGGCGTGCCTCTTTCCGAAAGGGAAAAAACCGTGCTCCCGGTTCGATTTTTCACCTGGTTTTTTTCGTCTGTTTTTTTTTGGCTACTGGATACGGGCCCGAACCCTATCCCTCCATCGCCGCGAAAATCCCCAATCCCTCACCGCTGGTGCCTCAGATTCGTCGCCCGCGCCTCAAATCCGCCGCCCGCGATGGCCAACTCTGCCCGCCGTGACAACGACGACCCTGAGCGGGCGCGTTGCGTCAGATCCGACACGGCGCGGAAGCGCACCGCCTTACGGTACACACGCCACGGGCGGTCACCGCCGCCGTCGCCCCTCCGCCGCGAGACGGAGGAGTACGACCACGCGCGCGCGCGCCTCTTCTCTGGCACTGACAACTCCTTCGGGGCGTCCAGCTCGCGCTCCTCTCCCCGATGAAGAGGGAGCTAGAGGGGCTCCTCCCGGTGAAGAGGGAGCCGGAGGCCGAGGCGGGGCGGAGCGACGTGCTGGTGGCGTCTTCAGGCCGGAGGACTTCCTTCCCCCGGCGGAGGCGGACGCCATTTTGCCTGCGTTGCTAGCGCGCGGTGCGCGGGAGGAGAACAAGGAGGAGTGGTGCCGCAAGGCCGCTGAGCAGGAGCGGATCTTCGTCAACCTCACCTCCGACAACGACTTCGATTAAGCGTCGCCGCTAGTCAGCTACCACACGAGCTCCGGTGAGCTCCATTTTGTCTAGTGCTAGGGTAACATAGCTGCGGCGAGCTTTTATTTAAATATATATCTATGTTGTGTACGAACGATCTACCCCTAAGTAAAGAATGATCTATGCTCTGGCGAGTTTTTCCATTAAATTTCTCGCACAA